GACCCTGGTGTCTATGAGGTTATTTCAGAAATGAGCCTTGTTGCCTGACATAGCTCTTTCTAGGATGCCATGCTGCCACAGGACTTTCCTCTCAAGACCCAGGATGGTGCTTTGGGCACTGCAGCATGGGATGTGTTTCCAGACAACCGAAGGTTGCTTCCACCATTCTAAGCACATGGCACATGACAGGTTTGTGAGACTGGGACATAATCAACCCACACCAGGCCTTCCCAGGTTTCTATTTCAGCCATTGTCCTCCATACCAGAGAAGCATTATCCACTTGGATTTCTTTACCCAAGCACACATTTCATACTTGCATTCATATTCTGTGCAAGAGTGTCCATGGTCAAGTCTACCCCTTCATCTCGACCCCACCTATACACTGCATCTCCTCCTTCATGGCCTGAGGTGTCCGTGGGCCCACTGGGCTAACAGTAATTCACCTTTCTGTTGCCAGTTCAGATCTACCCAAGCCATTTCAATCCTAGCAGCCCAGCCCATCAGCTGGTTATTTCTATGCTTCTCAGCGGCACAACTTTGGGTACAACACTGCCTGCTGTTTACCAATAGGGCCTTACACTCTACACTCTAATGGGAATTAAAAGCCTCTTCGTTAACATAAGAAGTAAGATCAGCACATCTAATCTGCCTGAGGAACTGCCTGCTGGAAACTGAAGCAGTCATTTTCTTGGAAGAACCTCCTTCTGAGTTTGCATGTCCTCACAATCCACACATCCCTGTCTCTATGGTCAAAGTAGATTCTCCATCCCATTTCCCCATATCCTCTCCACGGTCATGCAAGTAAAATCCCAGAGTAGTATATGGTGTGTACCCACTATAACCTCTCTCTGGAGCAGAGGAATCTTTTTTTCCCCACACAGCATCTCTCTTGCCCTGAAGAACTGTCATGACAGCCCAAAGTTATAGACTGAATGAACTCCATGGACATCAGAGAGGGATGGCCCACAGCCTATGAGAATGATATCTGCACATAAAACATCAAAAGACATGATGTAAATTATATGGAATGCTGGGTGGAAATTGTGCTGGTATCAGTTTGAATAGAGTTAAGTTTCTTCCTAGTTGCTGGCATGGTTCTGTGTTTTGGCTTTAGGATGAGAATAATGTCAATAATACACTGATGTTTCAGTTGCTGTTCAGCAGTCAAGGACATTTCAGCTTCTCATACTGCCCTGCCAGTGAGGAGCCTAGAGGTACACGAGGAGCTGGGAGGGAACAGAAGCAAGACAGCTGACCTAAACTGGCCACAGGGATATTCCACGTACCATGCTGAACAACAAAACTGGGGTGAGTATGCCAGGAGACTGTCACTAATTGGGGACTGGCTGGGCATTGGGCAGCAGGAGGGTTAGCAACTGCATTCTGCATTATTTTATTAAAATTTTCTCCTTTTCTCTCCTATTAAACTGTCTGTATCTCAGCTTACCAGTTTTGCCTTTTTGCCCCCCCATCCCACTGGAAGGGAGCAAGTCATGGGCTGTGTGGTGCTGAGCTGTCTGCCAGGTTAAATCACAACAAGTAGCCATCATCTTCTTATTCACAATATCAGGAAGAACTGAAGTAGTAAAGTACTACAGTAATATCCTGCCCTTATGGAGTGCAAAAGCTCTTAACAAAAAGAAAGTGCCACAGTTGCTCAGTGACAAAGGAAAAAGCTGTATCTGCCTTGGCAAGAAAGGAAGCAGAGCACCCTGGATGAAAAGCCCACATCACTATTTTGGATCCAGAAATACAAAACCAATTGCCTCACTGAGGGAAAAAATAGCAGTTCTCTGCATATTTTTCTTCTGCAGAAAGTGGATACAAAGCTGTAAAAATTCTTTTTCCAGCAAAGGAAAAAAACACAAGTAAATCCAATGAGTTATCTATGTGATGGCAGCTTTTGATTAACAGCCCAGTTAATCAAGTGGGTAAGAAACCCACTTCCTACTAGGTGCAGCTACCGAGAGGAAGAAGGGGGTTTGTTTCTCTCTTCATCTCGTTTGCATGCTATTTCCCATATCCATTCTCCAGCTATGCTGAACACTGCTTTCAGTAGTTAGGAAAAAAGTTCTAGTGTACCTGGAAACTATTCATCACTTCCATCTGGTATTGCATACAAGCAAAACGGCCAAGTATGGACAACTTCAGCTTCCTTGTTTTGTATCTAAACAACGCTGTCGTGCTAGTAGGAAGGCTCAGGATTCCAGCCAAAAGTCTATTTTGAACTTGCTTAAAAGAGAAACGCTCAAAGGCCAAAATTAGTCTGCGTGACAGAAGGATGAATTCACTCACTGAAGGTGAAAGACACAACTCTGAGGCATCCTTCAAGAGAAGTGACAAAATAAATTAATTAAAATGGATGTTGAGAGAGAAAATGCAAGAGAGACGCCTATGGCTTCTTGCAGAAGCAGCAATAAATTATTCCAATAGCTTCATTCTGATTTAAAGAGCAGAGAAAGGCTTTGCATTAAAATCAAGGTCACAACCACTTTGAGGACAGCCGTCCCACACCATGAAAGATATGAAACACAATCTCTACCAGCACACATTGTGCAATCATGCTCCAGGGTAGATTTAATTTATGGATTGAATAATAGCCCTCAGCTCTCTTTTCACTTTTTCTTCACATCTCTCCCAAGTTTAACTTTTGGCTTATAGCTTTGGCACCGATAAACTTTGTTAAATTAAGCTTGCTACTACAGATATAGTCACACATTTTTAGACTCTGAGCTTTAATAACTCAGCAATACCCTAGATACCACATTCAGGTTTAGAATACCATTTCCTCATAACTAAGCAATTCTGAAGCCCTTGCTTTGTCTACAGCCTTTTTGACTTCTCACTTGAGAATAAGCATACAGATTTTGGGGATTTTCAACTGTGCTGATAACCTCAAGCTGCACAGATGAAAAAGAAAATGAAATAAGCATTAAGTAAACAACAAGAAAAAACAGCCCATCAATTTTGCATACATGCAAATCATAAGCAAGCTTGAACATACACCAATTAAGTCAGTAACAATTCTTACCTTCGCACAACTCTCAAACAGCAAAACATTTCAGCAACTCAGTGCTCTGGAAAACTTTCATCCATCCAATCACTTAAGGGAAAAGAAAAGAACCGTGTTTAATAGCGGACATCAGCATCTCTGCCCATCACTTGTCAGTGCATTCTCTAAATCCTAGATGGTAACTTTTAAAGTCAGACAAGCAATACATAATAGACAACTCAAGTTTCACATAAAAATGTTTCCTGTTTTCTCTACAAACAGGGTGTCTCACAAACGTTCAGAGTTCCTTCTGTGATTTGATCTGAAGAGGAGTATTTAAAGATGTTTTGGACAGGGAAAGTAAAATCCTTACCGATTCAGTACTGCACGTGCTTCCTACTTCTTCTGTTCTTCAGAAAGGAAAAAATAACGCTTTTCAATGCTTTTCAAGCATTAGCACATTCTAATTAATGAAATTCCACATTATTTTTCAGTCCTTTAAGTTCAAAACTTAACAAATGAATGTGTTTTAAAATCCATATGCCAAGTATTTTATGGGACCAAAATGTAAAGCCAAGGGGAAAGGCTCATACAGTAGCACCTGGGAGCATCTTGAGAAGTTTGTTAAGAAAACAGTGATTGCTGGACTACACATCCATAACCGAGCATTTTCCAACAGAAGACAAACCATCCACCTATCAACCGCACACCTAATAACCACTAGGGATTAGGATCCCTATCGGCAATGTTTTCTACCCAAGCTTTCAGTGCACTTCTGAGAATACTTTTCTTCACGCTTTTCAAAGTAAAGTGCTATTTTGAAGCACCTGGGAGCAGGCCGTTATCTGAGAAATGCCATCCCTGCTTGCCATATAGCAGGATGGTTACTGGGTTACTGTGATGCTGTGCAGAACAGCTCAGCCTTTACTTGTGTTTGTGCCTTGCTGACACAAATACGCATAATTAGGGCAACATTACCACATATTTCAAGCAGGAGGTAAACACACGCTAAGCTGAAACCTCCTCGGTTTATAAATCCTGTCTCCTGATTTCCAGCCAGGTGGGCCAGACACCGACCTTTCATTTCCAGCGTCCTGCCAACAGCCCCGAGCCACGAACTGCGCTGAGCGCATTAACGAGCTCTCCGGAAAGAAAACGCTTTTCTCTCGCTGCGCTTTCAGCTGCGAGGATTTGGACGGAGGACGGAAAAACACCGAGAGCCTCACTGCTGGGTGCCGGCACTTTACGTAACCGGACCAAAGCATCGCTGTTTCTTGTCCGCGATGCCCTACGAGCGGCTCGGGAATCGTCACGTATCTCAAAGTTCCGCGCTCTTACGCGAGTTCCACCTTCGCCCCACCTCAGCTACCCGCCAGCTCCCAGACAACAAGTCGCCGATGGCGCTGCGGTCCCGCTGCCCGAGCCTTCGCCAACCCGATACCGCGCTGCCGCCTGCACACCGCGAGCACGGCGGTGAATCGGGCCGCTCACCCGCGCCGGCTTCTCGCGGCAGCACGACGGAGAGCGCGCGTCAACAACAGAGGCGACCCAATCGGTGAGCGGGTTCCGGCGGCGCTCGCCGAGGAAAGCAGGCTACGGCAACCCGACCGCCGCCGTTTTTCGCGGCTCCGACGGCGCGGCCGGGCACGGGGCGCAGCCCCCCGGCGGCAGCGCGCCGCTCGCGGCAAGGACGGCGCCTCCCAGCGCTGCGCCGTCAGAGCGCGCGGCGACGCGACGGACAGAAGCACAGAAGCGAGCCCCGCCGCTCCGGGCCCGCCGAGCGGCCCCCTCCCGCGCAGAGGACGCCGAGCCCCCAGCCGCAGCCCCGCTCACCGCCGCGGCCGGACGGCTCCGCCGCCCTCCTCCCGCCGGGGCTCGGCCCCCATGGCCCGGCGCTGCCCGCGGCCCCGGAAGCGGCGGCTGGGGGCGGGGCGCGGCGGCGGCGGGCGAGGGGATTCCCGTCGCGGGCGGGGCCGGTGCGCGCATGCGCTCTCGTTCCGCCGCTCGGCTCCGTCCCCTTGCGCCCAGGCGCGGCCGCGGCTCTCTCAGGGCTGTGGGGGAGCGGGCGCGCTGCGGCGGTAATGGCGTCGCGCTGCGGCGGTAATGGCGTCGCGCTGCGGTCCGCCGCCCGCCCGCCTGCCTCAAAGGGACGCGGGAAGGGCTGGCCGCGGGTGCCGCCACAGTCGGTGTTAACGCATACCTGACAGTAACCTACGGCCTTCGGGACCTTTTACATGCGCAAAGCCTCATCACAGAATCACAGAA